TGGGATTACAGGCTTGAGCCACCGCGCCCGGCCCAAAATGGAATTCTTTACTGCACTTGCACGCTAACCTGTCTCATCATCCTACCAAATCTGCTTCTTTTCCTCCTCAGACAACCCCAGAGAGCTCAGACATCCTTAAACTCCCTGTAAGCTCATGATGTTAAAAAACAGCCAGAGGGTGATTAACTCATGAATCCCCAAGTGTGTTCTCAGATCATCCACAGGAACCAAAAAGCAGTGAACTTTTCCAAGTGCACAGAAACAGAAGCAGAAAGCAAGTGATTTAATCAAGACACCACAGAGATTCAAGGTAAGCATCTACTTACCACGTGAATGAGTGTTTGTCTCATTTTGATCTCTGTCTTAACCAACTAAACAAAATTCCTATGAACTGAGAAAAGATTTATTATAGTCCCTTGTGAAATCAGAGGTATTAGATTAACTGAATCCATAACTGCTAAACTATGAAACACAACTAAAGGCTAAATTATGAAGCTTCAGTTTTATATCAGGCAACCTCCTGACATAAACACAATCTAGATAAAAAATAAAGCTCAACAACATACACACATCCCCAGAAAATTACACAGAACACCAACACATAGAAAGGTGGGCCTGCTTCCTATCCACAACACTGTCAAGCTTGCTCTGGTAAATGAAAGCCAGGAAGCTCATCCCTGAACAGGATGAAGGGGGATGAATACAAGAACAAGGAAGCCCTTCCATGAAGAGAGTTTGGAGTGTGTCTCTGTGTGTATATGTACTCACAGTTTTAGTCTCTTAGGTGTGTGAAGGACAAATAAATCTTGGGGCCCCTAAATCACTAAGCTAAAGGGAAAAACCAAGCTGGGAACTGCTTAGGGACAACCTGCCTGTCACTGAGATAGATGCATAGCTGATTGCCTCCTTTGGAAAGGCTAATCAAAAACTCAAAGAATGCAAGCATTCCCCTCTCTCACCTATCTGTGACCCAGAAGCTCCTTCCAGCTTCAAGTCTCCTTCAAGTTGTTCTGCCTTTCCAGACACAACCATTGTACTTCTTACATATGTTGGCTGATGTCTCACGTCTCCCTAAAATGTGTAAAACTAAGCTGTGTCCCGATCACCCTGGGCACATGTCATCAGGACTTCCTGAGGCTGTCTCAAGAGCGCGCATCTTCAAACTTGGCAAAATAAACTTTCCAAATTAACTGAAACTTGTCTCAAATTTTCAGGGTTACAAATAATACCAGCAAATCAGTAGACCCACTGAAGGGAAAAAGAAGGTAGTCTAACTTCATTATGACTACAAAAATGAATCTGGTATATCCATACAATAGGATATTACTTAGCAAATAAAAGGAAAAGAACTACTGACACATAAAACACCACAGATGAATCTCGAAATAATCACATTGAATGAAAAAAGCCAGAAAAAAAGGATACCTCCTGTATGATTCTATTTATATGTTAGAAAATGAAAACTAATCTACAGTTACAAAAAGCTTATCAGTGGTTGCCTGTGGATCAGAGGCAGGAGGGAGACAGTACTGAAGGGTACAAGGAAACCGTTGGGATGACAAGTACGTCTACTATCTCTAGTAGTGACAGCTCTATGGCTGAATACCTGTGTGAAAACATCTAACTTTACACTTCTAATATGTGCAGCTTGGGTGTCACTTGACTCCTCAATAAAGCTGTCTAAAATTTCTTGATAAAAATAAGTTCACATTGACCACCAATCGGGATTAACTGAAACCTTACAAAATGAAGATTATTTTCACTTTCAGAAGGATATCTGATCGCAGTTACATATCATGCTTTGTGGACAAGCAATTTCAGAATAAATACAGATGTCAAATACTTAAATGTCTCTATTTCTTCCCATTCATCCTTTTCATGATTTAAAAGGAGCTAAAGCATTTAATAAAAAATTCCCATCACTTCAAGTTTCTTAGAGAGACTCTGAAATTCAACAAACATTTAACTTTTTGGAAAAGACAGGACCTTAAACACCATCCTGTCTAACTTTCTCAATTTAAGGAAGTCTATTTTAGTTCTTTTTTAATTCCCAAGTGTGACAATTGGGTTTCCACACTCAAACCTGCATGTGAACCTTTCTACAACATCAGCACATTACCAGTCTGACATTTAAAAATAAAGGTCAATTTCAACTGTCCTGTCAATTTTACAAGATTCCAAATCTTTTTCCTTAAACCTTTTTACGTCAGTACACTATCTGTCTGATGTTTAAAAGTAAATTTAAAGGCCGGGCGCGGTGGCTCAAGCCTGTAATCCCAGCACTTTGGGAAGCCGAGGCGGGTGGATCACGAGGTCAAGAGATCGAGACCATCCTGGTCAACATGGTGAAACCCCATCTCTACTAGAAATACAAAAAATTAGCTGGGCATGGTGGCGCGTGCCTGTAATCCCAGCTACTCAGGAGGCTGAGGCAGGAGAATTGCCTGAACCCAGGAGGCGGAGGTTGCGGTGAGCCAAGATCGTGCCATTGCACTCCAGCCTGGGTAACAAGAGTGAAGCTGCATCTCTAAAAAAAAAAAAGAAAAGAAAAGTTAAGGCTTACGTTGTATTCATTAAATATTTTTGAGACTTGCTCAAATAGAAAACAACTGTATATACTCATGTGTTGCTTAATAATGGGGGTACATCCTTAAAAATGCATCATTAGGCAATTCACTGTGGACATCTAGCCTACTACACATGTGCCTAGATGGTACAGTCTATTACTCCTAGGTTACAGACCTATATAGCAGCTTACTGTAATGAATACTATAGTATGTGTGTATCTAAACATAGAAAAGATACTGTAAAAATACAGCATAAAAGATAAAAAATGGTATACATATATAGGGCACTCACCCGGAATGGAGACTGCAGGACTAAAAGTTGCTACACTTTTACAGGGACTGGCTGCACAGTGAGTTTTTTTTACACCAGCATCACCACAAAAACATGAGTCATTAAGAAATTTTGAATACTACAGCTTCACTAGGCAATGGGAATTTTTCAGCTCCCTTATAATCCGTTGGACCAAAATCATATATGAGCTCTGATGACCTCACTGGCACTATGCAGTACATAACTGTACTACACAAATTAGGTGTAGTATATACGTGGCTGTACAAATTTATAGTAGTCCCAAGCTACAAACTCAAGACCTTCAGCTAAACAAAAAAAGACATGTCAAATAGTTTTAAGTCCTGTCTCCTTCCCACGGTTCTCCTGATTATTTCAGTACTGAAAAGAACTTTCTCTGGTTGCTGAGATGTTTAAATGAGTTCATTACTATGAAATCACTTCTAAAAAGTTATAAGCAATATGTAAATTAAAAGGTATTATTAGCATAACAAAGAAAATATTTTGGCATGAGAGGGAGGGGTAAGCCTATAGCAGACGCGGGGTTCAGAGAAAGGAAAGAAAGAGGGAAGAGAAAGAGAATGTGAACACATGCCGGTCTCCCTAAAAGAAATGTAAATGTATATGGGTATCTCCCTTGATCCTCATCAGCAGTATGTTTTTTTTTTTTTTACAGACACCTACCCTGCATTTGCTGATACACGGGCGGCAGCAAGTGTGACATGTTACACTGCATGTCAGGGTGGTAAACAGCGATGATCTTCCACACGGCTGAGAAGATGAAAAACACTAAATTCTGATCAATTGATTAATAAACAGAGAATAGTGTTTTCTTCAAATACACGATTAATTTCACTACCAATACTTTATTCGCAGGATACACATTATAACTGCTGTTAAAGATAGGTGGGGATGACCGCAATAAGAGATTTTAAGAGAAGGCAGAATTATTTATTTTTTTCTATTTAATTATTTTTTATTTGACACTCGTTCCACATAAGTTTATTTAAAAGAGTAAAGTGCAAGGCAGCCTGTACCCTAATGTCATGTTTCCAGCTTGCTGCTAGGAAAAGCAGTCTGGGTAAGAGAGAATCTGTAGTATAAGTGAAATCCCCTAAGACTAAACATGCGCACATTCCAGCTAAGGACAGTGAACCAGTATCCCCTGCAAAGTGCAAACACTTACTTCTAGGTTAAAACAATTGTAAGCAAAATTTCCAAAGTCAACTACCTTTAGCTTGGGGCTAGAGCAATTACTTAACTCTACCTCCCACAGCTGGCATCAACAAGTTCCTTAAATCTTATGCTACTTCCAAGCTTTCTTTGCTGAATAAAAATGGCGCTGCTCTTCCCATCACAATATTGTTGATTTCTCAGCAATCCTTAGAGCCTTTAACCATCAAACACAATTGGCCTCATTTAAATGCCACCCTTCCCTGAACACTGCCAAGCGCTTTTTTGAAGGTTGGGCCAGGAGGTAAGGGTGGCCGCTTCTATCTACAAGGCTGCAACTTTCTCAGCTAGAATCCTGGGGATAACTCCCTCTCGCTTTTCTTCATAACCTCTGCCTTCCCCAAAACTGTTGCCTTTGTCTCCCTTAAACCACACTGCAATTGCAAACTGTCCCCAAAGTGCAGCAGCACTCAAGCTTCTCTGTGCCCCTCGCACCCATCAGCGCCATCTCTAATGCACCGTTCACACCCAGACCCACGCATCAGCCTTTCCGGGGGTCGTGCAGAGCCACCTGCCGGGCAGGCACCACCACATCAGCCTCTCCGAAACACAGCCTGTGCACCCGACGGAACCCAACCACTGGGTCCAGCCCCGCTGCAGCGGAGGGCAGGGACCAGCACACACCCTCAAGTCTACATAAAGACCCTCCCCGGGGCTGTCGCCGGCACCAACGCTGGGACCACCACCGCCCTAGGCGGCGGATGGGGGTCCAGGGGGCACACTGGAGAGGCAGGGAGGAGGCCGGTGGGAGCAGAGGTCACCGGGACAGGGTTGCCTTCCTCTCCCTTCCAGGGGCAGCGGGTCCCAGTCCCCACCCCTCTCCCAGGGCCCCGGTCTGGCAGCACCACGGCCGCATTGGGCGGCGAAGGCGTGTGCCCGACGCCTGGGTGCCTTGCGGTACCTGAACCCACCTGGTCAAGTGGCCGCTGCACCGCCGCTGAGCGGCCGCGGCAGGGCGGAGTCCGTGGTCCTGGCGGTGCTGGAGGGCGACAGAAAGGCTTAGACTAGGGACTGCTCTCAACTTTGCGCCCTGCCAGCTGCCTGCGCTCGCTGCCAGTGACCGCTTCCCCGCCTCCGACTTCCAGCAACTCC